AATCGTGGAACCAATCCAAACCAATCCATTTAAATACGGATTGGATCGGTTTAGGACCACGGATTTATATAATTAAATAACAAAAATATATATATAACAATAGAGAGAGAGAGAGAGAGAGAGAGAGAGAGAGAGAGAGAGAGAGAGGAGACCATGCTGATGGTGGGCAGGGGTAGCAGCAAAGCTCAGGGGGGGATGAACTTGAGCTAAAACGCGGTCCACAGGGCTTATTACATTACAGTCATGTGAACCCCCCATCCAACTTGATAACTGTGGGCCCCACATCCTATACACTGCCCACAACACCTACATACTTTCTTACCCTCTTAACATTTTGATTTTCATTTATTTTTTCATCAATAATATTGCAAACACTAAATTATCATATGAGTCAACTCTTAAATTTAAACAAAAATATAATAAATTCTACACTAACTATGTTTTTTTTTTTTTAACAGTAATATGTTATATATAAATTAGAGTAATATATTATTACGGAACAGAGTAAAATATTACTGTCAAATAGAATAATATGTTATTATTTACGTCAATTTCGACAGTATTTTTTTTTTATTTTCGAGAAGCACTTTCCTCAACATGGATTTTGTCACTTTAGTCCCTGACTTTCAATAGTGACACATTTGACCATAAATTTTGAATTTTGTTCCAAACAAGAACAATCAAAGATCTTTCTTTTGCAAACAGTCCATTTTAATGATAAAGTCGTCATACAACTTATTTTGTGTAGATTAACTTGTGGTTAAATGGGACTACTTATCATTGCAAGCAAAATATTTTAGATTATGTTGCAAACCTTAACCCTTTTGACTCTGGTATGTAAAATTGAGTTTCAAGTAGAGACATCAAGAGAGTAGGCATATTATCAAAAAATTAATGACTTATGGAGCGACGGCAACAAGAAGGTGGGTGGAATCCAGTATTCCAACGAAGACAAGGGAGTCATGGAGTGGCAGGACAGCTCCACACGATTTTTGTCGATAAGATTCCAGATTCTATGAATCTGAAAGGATAGTTCACCATGTTTTCAAATTTTGGTGTTGTCAAAGATGTTTACATCCCAGAAAAAAGGCAGAAAACAATGAAAACCAAAATTGGATTTGTAAGATTTGACTGTCCGGTCACAGCGGGGATTGCTATTCAGAAAGCTAATGGAGCTTGGTGTGGTGATAAGTCTTTGAAGGTAAAAAAGGTTGATTTTGGGAAAGACAAAGATCTGACAAATCTAAGACTAGGAGTACAAAAACCAACTGAGGTATAAAGTTTAGTTGGTGTTGGTATTGGAGGGAGAAGGTCCTATGCTGAGGTGCTGAAAGAAGGGAGGTCTGACAATGGTAACAACATTAGAATCAAAGCGAAGGAATATGCCATTGGTTGGTTAGTATCAATAGCAGTAATCAAATTTAAACCTCATTGCAAATTTGATGATTTTAAGACTGAATGTCGAAACAGAGGTTTGAAGGACATACAACTTAGAGAAGGTGGTTGGAGGAATGCGTTTATCACATTTAAATCACAAGAAGACTTGAAGCAATCGCTGAACAACCTTGGAGATTGGCTATTGGAGTGGTGTGATTCAATCATTGAGTGGAATAAAGGAATGAGGTAAATAATGAAAGATTGGTTTGGCTGGGTTGTTTTGGGATGCCTCCAAATCTCTGGAATGTTGATAACTTTCAGAAAATTGATAGTGCTTGGGGGAGGTAGTTGAACTTGATCATAATGTCTCGAGCATGGAGTCTCTGAAGTGTGGGAAATCAGAATTTGTACATCTTATTTGGAATGTATTGACAAGTTGGTTATTCTGGAAAAAGATGGTAGATCATACCCTGTTCGTGTAGTTGAAGTCGAGGATTTGTCAACTAAGTCCATAGATGGTGGTAATCAAAGTTCTGCAACTTGCCATGGAAGCAGAAAGGAAGGTGATGACGTGGGCAATATTGTGGCTGATGTGGGCAGTAGTCATGACATGGCAAGTGGTAAGAAGACTAATGATGGGTTGTTGGGGGCTGCTTCAAATCACAAGTGTAACTCAGTCTCTATATCGATGGTTAATGAGACTACTGCAGTAATGGGAATTCGTGATCATGCTTTGGTCCATCTAGTACCCAATGTAAGTTTACAGGCACCATTAGTAAGGGAGGCTGAAGGGAGTGAAAGACGAGGCGAGGCAGTGTTGGAATCTTTTAATGGGCCTAATGGGTTTATTAGAAGTTTAAGTGCAGGTGATCTAGATAGGCCCAATTTATCTCTAGAAGTAGTACTGGATCAAGCCCATTTTGATGGAAAGAGTCTGGGGCCTAATAATGATAAGGTCACTCATATTGAGAGGGTTAACCCGAATGAAGGAGTTCAGGAGAATGACAGTATAGATGAGGAGTCCAGCCCAAGTGAAGAAGAAGGGGAAATGTATCAACCTGGTGCTTATGTTTGGGCTAATAAGGCAGATGGCCAGCGAAATGACGGTAGAGTGCAGGGGCTATTATTTAAAAATGGTTTCCATAGAGGTGACCTTGTTCGAGCTGCAGCACTGGCATCCTTATCATCTTTATCTATCAGTAACAATTTAAGAAAACAAAGGAAAATCCGAAAAGAAGCTGAGGATACAGTTCAGTTGGGTATGACTCTGGGGTTGGCAATGAATGGGAAGGAAGCTGAAGTTGTGGAGCGAGTAATTCAGATGGAAGTTGAAGACATGGATAGAGTGAAGGCAAAAGGGGTGGAGCCAGGTGCTTAATTTGAGCACTTGATAGGTGGTTCTAGCGTATAATTGTATCCTCATGAAGATTCTTTCCTGGAATGTTAGAGGCTTGGGTAGGGCAGATAGAAGGCAAAGGATTAAGGAATTTCTAAGTCAGAAATATGTGGATATGGTTCTGCTGCAAGAAACAAAACGGTCATGTATGGATGAGAGTGGTGTTAGGTCTTTGTGGCCTATTGATTCGGTGGAATTCATGGAAGTGGGCGCAGATGGTAGTGCTGGAGGGCTTCTTTGTGTATGGGACCCTCTGATCTTCTCATTAAAGGAGTGCCGCTGTTTCAGAAGTTTCATACTATTGGCAGGTATTATGCACTCTTCTATTAATTGTGTAATTTGTAACATTTATGCTCCAAATGAAGATTTGACTAGGAGAAAGTTATGGGGTATTCTTTCCAATTTGAAGTCTATTTTTCCTAATCCTTGGTACCTAGGGGGTGACTTTAATGAGGTAAAAAATATTAGTAAAAGAAAAGGGTGTGTAAGAAGGGGCATAGGAATGGGTGAGTTTGTAAATTTTATTAGCAACCTTGAATTGGTGGATATCCTAATGCTTGGTAGGCAATACACTTGGGGCAATTGGTAGAGCTGGAACAGGATTGATCAATTTCTAGTTAACCCTGACTGGTTAGAATGGTTCAAATACAAGGTTTGGGGTCTACCAAGATTTTTTTCTGATCATAGCCCTATTCTGCTGATGGAAGATGATAGGAATTGGGGCCCGAAACCTTTCAAGTTCATCAATGCTTGGGTTTTACACCCTGACTTCCTTGATGAAGCTAAAAGAGCATGGGAATCATCAGGTGTACAAGGTTGGGCTTGTTATATCATCATGGAGAAGCTGAGAGTTCTAAAAGTAGCACTGAAAAAATGAATAAGGAAGTGTTTGGTGATGTAGAATCTAAATTGAAAGAAGCTGAAAGTGCTTTACATTCTATGGATTTACAATCTGAATTGAGGGGGTTGACTGAGGTGGAAGAGGGCAAAAGAAAGGAGGTTTTGGGTTTGATCTGGAAGCTTAAGAAAAGAAAGGAGTGGACGTGGGTGCAAAAATCTAGGATGGACTGGGCTTTGAAAGGGGATAGAAATACGAGGTTTTTCCAAATTATGGCCTCCAAAAAACATAACAAAAACTTGATAGCTTCTCTTAAGGTTAATGGGGTTGAGGTGGATGAACCAAGTGAGGTAAAAGAAGCAGCTTGTTCTCATTTTCAGAATTTATTTATAGAACATTGGAGGTGTAGGCCAACAATTAGTGGAGATTTTAAGAAGATTGATGCTAACCAAGTTGGTGCTGTTCTTGAGAAAGAATTCACAGAGGAAGAAGTTTGGGCTGCTATAAAAGATTGTGATGGTAACAAAGCCCCAGGTCCAGATGGATTTAATATGATGTTCTTTCAAAAAGGGTGGAAATTCTTGAAAGGCGACATTATGAAGTTTATGAAGGAGTTTTATAGCAACAGTAAATTGGGATTTCGGGTAAACTGCTCTTTTGTCTCTCTTATTCCTAAAAAGGAGAATCCAAGCTCTCTTCTTGAGTACAGACCGATTAGCTTGATAAATTCCCCATATAAGGTGTTCTCCAAGGTTTTGTCAAATAGAATTAAGCTAGTCCTGCCTAGTGTGATTGATAAGGCTCAGTCTGCTTTTGTAGGGGGTAGAAACATCATGGATGGTGTGCTTATAGCTAATGAGGTGGTGGATTGCTGGGAAAAATCAAAGAAGAAGGGCCTTATTCTAAAATTGGACTTTCAAAAAGCATATGATACGGTTAACTGGAATTGCTTACTGCATATGTTATCTAGCTTTGGTTTTGGTTCAAGATGGATTCGATGGATGAAGGAGTGTTTGGAATCTACTAGAATTTCCATCTTGGTCAATGGTTCGCCCTCTGCTGAATTTTGTCTACAAAAAGGGTTAAGACAAGGTGATCCTCTTTCACCGTTCTTATTTAATGTTGTTGCTGAAGGTCTGAACGTACTACTATCAAGAGCCAAGGAGTTGAGGATTATAAAAGGAGTGGTTGTGGGTAATATAGAGGTCAATGTTTCCCATCTTCAATTCGCTAATGATACTATTATTTTCTATGAGGCTGAATGGGCAGAGATTGTGGCTGTCAAAAGAATATTACGTTGTTTTGAAGTGGTCTCGGGGTTGAAGATAAATTTTCACAAAAGCATGATCGGTGGGGTGGGAGTTGATGATGGGCTGGTTGAAGAGTTTGCAGCCACTCTTAACTGTTTGAGCCGTAAGTTACCTTTAAAATATTTAGGGTTTCCTCTTGGTGCCAACCCAGGTAGGAAACGAACATGGCAGCCAGTGGTGGACAGATTTAAAAAGCAGTTATCTGGTTGGAAAAGAAGGCTGCTTTCCTTCACTGGTAGGGTCACTCTCATTAAATCGGTTTTGGCTTCCTTGCCTATTTATTATATGTCTTTATTTAAGATTCCTGAGTGTGTTGCTAAAGAACTTGACAAGATTCAAGCAAGGTTTTTGTGGGGTGAGGATGAATTTAAAAAGAAAATCCATTTGGTAAAATGGAATGAGGTGCAGTTACCTAAGAAGCAAGGAGGTCTTGGAATCGGAGATATCAGATTGATGAATGTATGCTTACTTATAAAGTGGTGGTGGAGATATGCCGTAGAAGAGGAGGCTCTGTGAAAGTCTGTGATTTGTGCTAAATATGGGGTATCTGGGGGTCAATGGTTTCCTCCAGTGAATGATTTGGCTTCTGTTTCATCTACCTGGAGAGAGGTCCTTGCTGTGTCTTTTTTAAATCCTTCGTTGTTCAACTTCCTTCTCGAAAATGTGGTGATAAGGATTGGTGATGGGAATAGGGTGAAATTCTGGGATGATATTTGGCTGGGAACATCAAGCCTCAAATATCAATTTCCAAGGTTGCATCAACTGAGTGTAGATAAGGAGATCACTTTGAAGATGCAGATGTCTTGCAGAGTTGGTAGCAATTTTTGGTGTTTTAAGTTTAGATGGTCTCTCTTTGGTTGGGAAGAAGATGAGATGTTTAGGTTGCAAAATCTATTGGGAGTGGGGCCCTGCCTTGTTGTTGATCAAAGGGATTCAGTTAGGTGGAAGGCTGAGCAGTCCGGGATTTTTAAAGTGGGCTATGTGTATAATTGGTGCAAGCAAAGTGTTGGGTCTGTTCTCAGCTATCCAAAGTTGGTCTGGAATAATTTTGCTCATCCTAAGGCTAAATTCATAACTTCGCTGGCTTGGAGAGGTAAGTTGAAAACAACTGTTTTCCTCAGTAGAATTGGAGCTTTGAGAGGTGATGGGAATTTGCAGTGTGTGCTGTGTAAAGCTGGGGAGGAGACTTCTAATCATCTTCTTTTATCATGTTCATTTGTGTGGCGTGTGTGGTCTAACATGATGGACTGGTGGGGTCTTCAATGGGTGTTACCAGGTTCTTTCGAAGGTTTGATGCTCTGGTGGTTGGGGTGGAAATTTAGGAAAAAGGAAAAGCAGGTTTGGAGAGTTGTTTTTATCTCTGTTGTTTGGTCCTTGTGGCTGTATAGAAATGATTGTGTTTTAACAATTCTCAACCTGATATTGCTGCTTTGTGTAAGCTTATTAAAATTAGAGTGGCCTTGTGGTTGAAGACTTATGATAAGGGCTATTGTTTTTCTGTGCAAGAGATTGTTTCAAACATAAAATGGGTCAGTCATATTATCTAGGTCGAGAGGAGGCTGTGGTGGCTGTTGCTGTTATGATTCGTGGGTGATTTGCGTGGGCAGAGATCCTTTTCAGTTGTCTGCTGCTGCTGTGGCTCTTTCTTTAGGTGCAGATATGACTTGCTGTTGCTGCTATTAGCATTTGGTTATTGCAGCTGTTACTTTTGTTTGCTCCTTGTGGATATATAGAATTGTTTGTGTATTTATCGATACTCAACCAATTATTGCTGCTTTGGGTGAGCTAATCAAATTTAGAGTGGCCATGTGCTTGAAGATTTATGCCAAGGGCTGATGCTACTGCATTTTTTAGATTGTTTTAAACATAAGATGGGTGAGTCTTATTATCTAGGTAGAGAGGAGGTTCTATTGCTATTATGATAGGATGGTTGATCAGATAGGCTGGTAAATAGGAGTATATATTCTGTTGTGGCTGCTGCAGTGTTGGTGTGGTGGTGTTTTGTGTGGGTAGTGCTACTCTTCAGTTATCTGTTGCTGCTGATGTTCTTGATTAGGCTACATCCCTCTTCTGCTGATCTGGTTTGCTGCCTCAGCTGTTAGTGTTGCCCTGTTTTTGTTGTTAGGTAGTTTGAATGCTCGGTGCTGCTGTAGCTGTTAGTGTTGTCCAACTTTTTGCTGATAGGTAGATTGATTGCTTGGTTTGTATTAGGTGTGGTCAGTGTTTTATTGGGTGAGGTAGTTTTTGGTGTTTGTGGTTGGTTCCTCACCAACTCTTGTGGTTGTGCTAGCATATGATTGGGCGGTTTTATCGGTGCCAACCTATTTGGTATTGATTTGGTTCACTATGATGTTTTCTGCACTCCTCTTCCTTTTCTTTTTTGATGTAATAGTTTTTTTGTTTTATCAATAAAGTTCCTTTTCTTTGCTGATCAAAAAAAAAAAAAACGATTGTACAGCTTATTTCGGACTTTATTTTCATCATTTGAATTGTTTAATATTTAAAAAATATCAAGTAGAATATACTTGTAAAAAATCAAATTAATCGGATATTTAAAGACCCTTCATCAACTCACATTTGTATTTAGTTGAATACTTATATATTTATTTTTTTATATATACAAATTCATGTTATGAATGATCTATTAATATTCGATCAACTTAATTTTTTACAAATATATTTAACTTAATGTTCTTTAAAAATTAAATAATTTAAATAATGAAAATAAAATTCAAAATAATTTTCATAAGCTGCATATAGTTATTGTTGTGCAAGTCATATAACAATGACCCTGATCCCCGAAACTGCATGGTGGCAGTGATCTTTACACGTGCGTCACGATTTTTGATGTTATGGATCAGTATACTTCCGGCGTGGGGGTCTTGTCTTTGGTTTGTGTGGGGTTATTGAAAGAAAAATGAGTGGAGCACTAATTAGTGTTATCATTAATGATGTGATAGTGGGTCTTATTTGAATTGATTTGATATTTTGGTCGTATTTTTTTTCTTTTTTTATTGAGTGTCATGTCATTAGTAGTCTTTTTAGAGTTCTAAAATTAGTGATCTCTATCATTATTGTTCTTTTATCTATCAGTACATAAATTTTTAATGCAGAATTTTATGAAATTGATTTTATATTTTTATTCTCATTCCACATCTTATATGTTCTAATTATACTTTAAATTAATATTTTTGCACACATAACCCTTAAATCATTTGTTCTATAGAGAATTAGTGGTGTAGAGACATTTTTTATTACTCCACCTTAAAAACACGTCTTTCACAAAAATCCTTTAGCAAATCGCTCTATGAATCTTCAGATTATACTACTACCTCCTTTGATTTTCAGTTATATCATTAAACTGATTCCTTCAATCAACAATCTAGTCAATATCGAAAAAGTCATTAATTGTATTGACTTGTATCAACATAGATCTTGAAACAATATCGTTTTGTATCAAACTTTATTGAAAACATACAACTCATCTATCTCTTATTTTTCATACTCTCGTTTTTTTTCTGGAAACAATTCGATTTTGTTTATTCGGTACTAGTTATCCGAATAAAAAAGGTTTATTCAATTTTTAACTTCCGAAACATGTAAAAAAATTCAGAACTTTGTTTCTGAAATAAATTCTTAAATTCGAAAGTTGGGTTCCAAATCCAAATTCGGAACTTGATTTTTGAATAAAATTAATAATTTCGGCAGTTGATATCCAAAAAAAATAACATGTTTTGGGACTGGTTTACTGAAACTTAGAGAGTAAAGCAAATAATGGAAAAACTAGGGTTTATTTTTTTTTAACTCAAAGGTGTATATTGAGATTTTTTTTTTTTTGTTCTTAAAAGATGTGTGCAAAGAATTTTTCTACAGAATATTATGGGTGTTACTAGATGTCTATTATGGTCATTTTTATTTAGGATATAATTGTCATTAAATTAATATTTCATTAAGTGTGTGCCCTAAGCTAATAAGGTGTGCAGAAATAAAATTTTCTGTATTATTCAACGTTGCCTTTTTAAAAAAATAAAATAAAATTTGAGTGAAAATTACATCTTATATTACATGCTCCATTAGATTTTGAACTTTTATCAAAACTCTAGTTGATCGTGTGAACGATCAGCTAGTATAATTTTTTTATAAATTTTTACAAGAAAGTAGTTATTTGGGGGTCAATCGGCTAGATATTTGAGCAGTCATCCGGTGATAGAAATATAACTGTTACGAACAGTGAATTGATGAAAGTTCCCAATCATTCTCAATTTAGTGAAAGATTTAACATATTCTCAATTTGATACTGATCTGATGAAATGTTTAGAGTAACAAAATAGGTCTTTTTCATCAAATTTAAATTTGACGAAACAATAGGTAAAAAGTTGGAGATTGTCTTATATGAGCATATCGAATGTTTATCCTTTTCTTCTATCAAATTAAAATTTGATGAAAGAAATTTTGTTTTGATACTCCAACGTTAATATTAATCCAATATTAAATTGAGAATTTTTTTTTTTAGTTTTTCATTAAATTAAGAATGTTTGGAACATTTCATCAAATTACTGTAGATAGTCATTGGAACCATATACTGAACGACCAGCCGATTGTCCGATTGTTCTTCCTTGTTTTAGACTTCTAGTAAATTTACACTAACCAGTCAACTGACAGACATCCTCCTAGTCGACCAGTGATTTGATAAAAAAAAATTGAAATTTTTTTATTGGAATACTCAATATCAAATAAAAAAATTATTCAAATTTGATTTTTTTTTTTAAAAAAAATAAGAAGTGAGAATTGGTTGTATGCCCGTACAGTGTTACTTGGTTGGAAGGGGGGAACTTCTTTCATCTATAATGAGGGTGCTTAGCTGTCAAAACAGTTCCTTTTAAAATGAAATGCATGCCATGGAACTTAACAAAAAATTATGGGTATTCTGGGTTTATGTGACTTCCTTTTCAACATCTAAGTAATTCAAATATTTATCGTATAATAAAATTTAGGGGGCATTACTTGCTGTAATTAGTAAAAGCTAGGGTTATCCACTAATGCCGGAGTTTATATCTGCGTCCAGCCACCTTCAGCACTCCATATTTTGTGAGACTGATATGGTGATGGCATTATTTATCATATTATTTTGGCTATGATATCCTTTCAACACCCTTACTGTATTTGATTTTAAATAGGCTACTGATTCTTTATGTTCTAAATCAATGGGATAAGCCTCCTGGACTTCTTGGCCTCATTTGTTCATAGATAAGGAGAGCGGGTTGTAATAAATAATTGTGGGATAAATAATCATGTGACTGACTTTCATTGCGTACAAATTTCCCAGATTTTGGATATATTCAGTCTATTTATTAAAATAAAGTCCAATGGAACACATGGAAACTTGTCGTTATATGTTGTCATTGCTATTTCCTTTTATAATATATGGAATTGAGATCAAGCAACAAAAGAGTATTTCTACACATGCACCACC